TGTCCACCGGGCTAATTGGCTCCAACCCGGTGGTTTTGTCTACCTCATAGCAATTGTCACAACTGGTTGGCATTGGGGTAATCCTTTGTCTTGGATGGAGGTAGGTTGTACGTCCTCTGCCTGCCCATTCCAAACGCTGGGTATCGGGATCTGGGGGAGTGGTCATGTCCACATGCCCAGGGGGGGCCAGGGCCAAAGGCACTCCCCCAAATGGCAGTCCCTATTTGATGCAAGTCTTAGGAACACCCTGCCTGGATTGACTCACACGTCACTTCTGGTGGGCGGGCCAAAGTATTTTGATTGCCCCATGCCCAAGTCAAACCTCTTTCATCTGTGGCCTGTTTCGATCCAAACCAGTCTATTTTGTCCTTTATTTGTCTGCAGGTTGGGGACGGGGAGAAAGATGCCTAGACGCGCAACTAAGCTATTGTTCACATGATCATGAGATGAAAGTGAAGCGAGTCCTCTCATTTTGTCAAGGTTGTTGACATTCTTCCCTTTCACTTCAACCCTGTGATTCACCCCTTGAATGTGGTAACAAACCAAGGTCTCAAAACACATTGAAGAGTGTTTATCTCAGCAGAAAACAGACCCCCCTGGCAATGTTGGAAACATTAAACATTTTTGCAAGAAGGTAGTTCATTAGGACTGATGTACACATGTGTGCTATTCAGTTGTTTACATTTTCTCAAGGAGAGAATTGCATGTGTGAATGAGCGAACCAGAGCTGCGCTACCCATGAGGCAGGGTGAGGCATCTACCTCAGGTGACGGAAGTGGTGGCATTCCACCCACCACACTGCTTTCACTGCTGCCAGAAAGCCCTCCTCTCACTGCTCCTGTGGCAGAGAAGATGAATGGCAATGGCATACACAGAATGCCCGGCTCCTGCCAAAGTTCAGTGGGAGCCAGAGCATTCCAGTGGCGGAAGAAGTGGAGGCAGGGTGAGCGTTGGCGATGGTGGCAGTGGGTGGGGTGGGCAGTGGGAGGCTGTGGCAATTCTTGTTTTGCTTCAGGTGGCGAAACAGGACATGCTGCCGCTGGAGCCAACACAGATTAAAATGTTACAGGAAAAAAACTTCCAACTCTTCTGGACAGGCATCAGGGCCAAACTAGACATGGTGCTGTAGATTCATGTTTTTGCCCATGAGACAAAACACAGAGGTGCCCAGCTTTTTCTGGGAATCGTGTAGTAGAGCACTGTGGATGAGACCAAAGACCAATCTAGTTCCAACATGAATGCAATAGCTGTTTCCTGTTGTTGGTCCGTCCCCCCCATAGCTGGCAATTATCAAATCCACTTTTTAAAAACCATTTAAGTTAATGGCAGTCCACTATATCTTTTTGAGCAGTGAACTCCTAGTGGTGTCCAATTTTTTCAAAGAGGGACAGGTTTAATGAAGTGACAGGGCTGTGAGGGACAACCAAAGTCCTTAACCTTTTTTAAGGATTGGAGTTAGAATAGAATCATAGAATCATAGAGTTGGAATAGACCACAAGGGCCATCGAGTCCAACCCCCTGCCAAGCAGGAAACACCATCAGAGCACTCCTGACATATGGTTGTCAAGCCTCTGCTTAAAGACCTCCAAAGAAGGAGACTCCACCACACTCCTTGGCAGCAAATTCCACTGTCAAACAGCTCTTACTGTCAGGAAGTTCTTCCTAATGTTAGGTGGAATCTTCTTTCTTGTAGTTTGGATCCATTGCTCCGTGTCCGCTTCTCTGGAGCAGCAGAAACAACCTTTCTCCCTCCTCTATATGACATCCTTTTATATATTTGAACATGGCTATCATATCACCCCTTAACCTCCTCTTCTCCAGGCTAAACATGCCACAGCTCCCTTAGCCGTTCCTCATAAGGCATCGTTTCCAGGCCTTTTGACCATTTTGGTTGCCCTCCTCTGGACACGTTTCCAGTTTTGTCAGTGTCCTTCTTGAACTGTGGTGCCCAGAACTGGACACAGTACTCCAGGTGAGGTCTGACCAGAGCAGAATACAGTGGCACTATTACTTCCGACACGACCTTACAAGGGGCCGCTCGGGACTTCGTGGAAAGCATGGCCTCCATGGGGCTGTCCCTGAATAAGTTTGGCCCAACTCATAGCCATGGACATGCCTTAGACTTGGTGTTCACCTCTATGGATGTTGGTGATCTGACACTAACTAAAAGCGAAACAAAAGAAGTGCCATGGTCAGATAACTTCCTGGTGCAACTGGACTTCTCCGCAACCCTTCCCCTCTGCAGGGAGGTGGGACCGATTCGGATGGTCCGCTCCCGCCACTTAATGGATCCAATTGGCTTCCAGAGAGTGGTAGGGGATGCTTTATCCCAAGTGATGGCCTTTCAGCTTGATTCCCTGGTGGCACGCTTGGAATCGGAGTTAACCAGGGCTATCGACTGTCTGGCTCCGAAGCGCCCTCTCCGATTGCATGGAGCCCGGACAGCCCGTGGTTTTCCCGGGAGCTGAGGGTGATGAAACAATCGTTGAGATGGCTAGAGCGCCCGGTGGCGGAAAACTCATTCTGAATCAGACTGGACATGGGCTAGAGCTCAACGTCGAGCCTAACAAGTGGCAATGGCGACGGCGAAGAGGGCCTTCTTCGCCGCCTCCATTGCATCTGCAGAAAACAGCAGCAGGAGACTTTTTCAGGTGGTTCGCAATCTATCGGAACCACCTGTACCACCGGGGCCTGGTAGGGACCCCAAGATCTCCTGCAATGCTTTTGCAAAGTTTTTTGCAGATAAAATCGCTCAGATTCAGAAGGAGGTAGACTCCACCGTGGGAGCAGGGCCAGGGCGGGAGAGTGCTAGAGTTCTGTCTGGTCCTGTTACATGGGATCAATTCCAATCTGTTACCTCGAGGATGTGGACAGGCTGCTTGGACAAGTGAAACCAACCACCTGTCTCCTTGATCCTTGCCCATCCTGGCTGATAAAAGCGAGCCGGGAAGGGGCTGGGCGATGGGCTCTGCGGGGTGGTGAATGCTTCCCTCTGTGAGGGAGCCTTCCCAGACCCGCTGAAAGAGGCGGTCATTAAACCGCTTCTTAAAAAAAACATCTTTAGACCCGGCCAATTTGGCCAACTATCGCCCAGTCTCAAATTTGCCATTCTTGGGCAAGGTGATTGAGCGGGTGGTTGCTGAACAACTCCAAGCACGCCTGGAGGAAACGGACCATTTGGATCCCTTCAAATCGGGATTCAGGTCTCACCATGGGACTGAAACTGCCTTGGTCGCGCTGGTTGATGATCTCCGGCGGGCTAGGGACAAAGGTGAGAGCTGTTTCCTAGTTCTGCTGGATCTCTCAGCGGCCTTTGACACCCATCGACCATAACATCCTTCTGGACCGTCTAGAGGGGCTGGGAGCTGGGGGCACTGTCATACAGTGGTTCCCACTCCTTCCTCCTGGGCCGTGTCCAGAAAGTGGTGGTGGGGGATGAGTGTTCAGACCCCTGGGCTCTCACTTGTGGGGTGCCTCAGGGTTCTGTCCTCTCATCAGGCGGTTTGGACTGGGTGTTCATCAGTACGCAGATGACACCCAGCTCTACCTCTCCTTTAAATCAGAACCAGTGAAGGCGGTGAAGGTCCTGTGTGAGTGCCTGGAGGCGGTTGGAGGATGGATGGCGGCTAACAAGACTGAGGTTGAATCCTGACAAGACAGAAGTACTGTTTTTGGGGACAGGGAGCGGGTTGGTGTGGGGGATTCCCTGGTCTTGAATGGGGTAACTGTGCCCCTAAAGGACCAGGTGCGTAGCCTGGGGAGTCATTTTGGACTCACAGCTGTCCATGGAGGCGCAGGTTAACTCTGTGTCCAGGGCAGCTGTCTACCAGCTCCACCTGGTACGCAGGCTAAGACCCCTACCTGCCCGCGAACTGTCTCGCCAGAGTGGTGCATGCTCTAGTTATCTCACGCTTGGACTACTGCAACGCGCTCTACGTGGGGCTACCTTTGAAGGTGACCCTGGAAACTGCAATTAATCCAGAATGCGGCAGCTAGACTGGCGACTGGGAGTGGCCGCCGGGACCATATAACACCGGTTCTGGAGAGACCTGCATTGGCTCCCAGTACGTTTCCGAGCACGATTCAAAGTGTTGGTGCTGACCTTTAAAGCCCTAAACGGCCTCGGTCCTGTATACCTGAAGGAGCGTCTCCACCCCCATCATTCAGCCCGGACACTGAGATCCAGCGCCGAGGGCCTTTTGGCGGTTCCCTCATTGCGAGAAGTGAGGCTACAGGGAACCAGACAGAGGGCCTTCTCGGTAGTGGCGCCCGCCCTGTGGAACACCCTCCCATTAGATGTCAAAGAGATAAATAATTACCTGATATTCAGAAGACATCTTAAGGCAGCCCTGTTCAGGGAAGTTTTTAATATGTAACGCTGTACTGTTTTTAACACTGATTGGGAGCCGCCCAGAGTGGCTGGGGAAACTCAGCCAGATGGGCGGGGTATAAATAATAAATTATTATTATTATTATTATTCCCTTGATCTAGATGCTATACTCCTATTGATGCAGCCCAGAATTGCATTGGCTTTTTTAGCTGCCGCGTCACACTGTTGGCTCATGTCAAGTTTGTGGTCAACCAAGACTCCTAGATCCTTTTCACATGTACTGCTCTCAAGCCAGGTGTCCCCCATCTTGCATTTGTGCCTCTCATTTTTTTTGCCCAAGTGCAATACTTTACATTTCTCCCTGTTAAAGTTCATCTTGTTTGTTTTGGCCCAGTTCTCTAATCTGTCAAGGTCGTTTTGAAGTGTGATCCTGTCCTCTGGGGTGTTAGCCACCCCTCCCAGTTTGGTGTCATCTGCAAATGTGATCAGGATGCCCTTGTGTCCATCATCCAAGTCGTTGATAAAGATGTTGAATAAGACCGGGCCCAAGACAGAACCCTGTGGCACCCCACTAGTCACTCTTCTCCAGGATGAAGGGGAACCATTGATGAGCACCCTTTGGGTTCGGTCAGTCAGCCAGTTACAAATCCACTGAGTGGTAGCATAGTCATTTATAAAAATCATTTATATAAAACAAAAATCACCCATTTCTATTCAGGCAACCAGAGCGGAAGCAGGATCTTGCACTGAACGTCCCTCGGTAGATCATCATAGTCAAAAGCGCAATGTAGAGCAACGCAGAAGCATCTGCAAACCTGCCCTGATTTATTGACAGTTCCCCCATGTTTCCCCACCATTCTTAACCTGCATGTGGAAATTTCTGATCAGAACCGGAAGTGTGCAGTTGTCTAGAGCTCTCTGTCTGTCTTCTCTACGGTGGAAGGAGGAGTTCTGTCTTTCTGCTTGCTCTCCCAAGCACTGCTGAAGGTGTGGCGCCCTCAGAGGCACTATTGATTTTCAGGACTCCTGTAATAAGATGCAGAATTGGAGTAAGGGAGGCTCTGACACTTTTGACCCACCAAACTTCTGCTGTTGAAAAAGCAGTCAGCTTTTTGAGTTATGAAAAGTTAGAAGGATCATGGACCATACGACACAAGCTTTTACTCAAAAGTAAATTCTGCTGAATTCAGTGTGGAACCCACTTGCAATCAAATGAACACAGAATTGAGGCCTTAGGCTTAACACACCTGCTTAAATTTGTGAAAGTCAAAAGTGGCTAAATAAATGGTGAAAACTTGGCTTCTATCATCTAAAGTTGGTTGAAAGGACACCCTGCTGTGTTGTTTAGTCAGAGATGGATACGAAATGCTAAAGAGTATTATCTTCCAAGTGATGCCGCCTTGGCTGCTCTGGGTGAGGTTAACCTTTCCAGACCCTTTATTTCCCTGGCAGATACTTGGGCTAGAAACTCCATTACGCCAACTAGAATGAGATGGCTGTAGCTGTAAGCAACAGGCATCTTGGAGCAGGCACAGCATATGCCGCCTGGCAATCCCAGCAGATAGGAAAGGCTTGTTGCCGCCCATCAGCTGTCATCCTCTTATGACAGGCTGCCATTCCTCAAGTACTTGAGGAAACTGGCACCAGGGGAGCTTGAGAACATAAGAAGCATAGAACTGTAGAGCTGGAAGGGACCCAGCCGATCATCTAGTCCAACCCCCTGCAATGCAGGAATATATGGCTGGCCCATCTGAGGATCAAACCTGCCACCGTGGCAATTTATTTGTTAAGAGGATGGGGGAAAGGGAACAGTTCTTCATAAGGATCAGAATAAATGGGGCTGAAATTGCGTCCTTGAAAGCACCATCCTGGATTTGGAAAACTGATACCAGGAGCCATGGGTGTAAACAGTATTTATTGTGGGGCAGGCTTTATCTTGGAGGCTAAGGGCAGAGTCATCTGTGATGCAATTGGTCAGTTAGTTAAGTATTTTTATTGATTAACTTGATTTAGAGGGGGCAGCTCCCCCCCCCGCCTCCCTGGCTACGCCCATGCCAGGAGCCCCTGACACATCGTCTTGGGTGGGGGTGATGCTTTCAAGAAAGCAATCCCCAATATTCATTTTCTTTCGTTTTATGAACTGGTTTTATAATGTGGTTTGGTTTATAATGTGTTAAAGAAAGCAATAATATTTTGCTATCATCATGATAGCTTCTACGGATAAATTTGACTAAGAACACTTTGTCGCGTCCCTTGAAGAGGAGCAGGGCTTGTGGCTGATGGTTTTCTCAGGGCCCAGGGGTGCTGCATCGCGCGAGGTTCATTGTGACATCTCCCTCTGCTGGCTCATTGGTCGCCAGAGCTCTAGAAGGCCTGGGATCTCCTATGCTTGGATCATTCTGTGCTTGTGAGAGTAGAGAGAGCATGTAAGTAGGATTTCTTTCAGCATATCGGATCCTCTTAATTGAGGGTCCGCGTTGCGCACAGGCCATAGGTGCAGCCCCCTTCCTTGGGAGTGGTGGTGTGATCGAGGGGGGCCTTTAAAAGGCAGCGGCGTGGCGTTGGGGGGGGTTACCTGGGTTTGCGCTGCCAAACACCTGCCACCCACCCTCGATTTAGGTTTGTGCTTTGGCCTCGCTCTGGACTTTGGTTGGTCGCCTCTTTTGGAACAGGGGCTGGGTAGGAATTTCAAGTATAAAATCAACAGAAACAGCCTCTGTGGATCTAAGACTAAGACTTATTCAACAGAAAATAATATTCAGAGTCCACTGGACTCCAGCAAAACTATACCAGAAGAAAATAACAAGTACAGACAACTGCTGGAGATGTGGGAGTAAAAATGCGAACTTAGTACATATGATGATTCAATGCCCGATAATAAGATCATTTAGGTGTGAGGTGAGGATATTTATAGCAAGAGTAATAAAAAGAAATTGTTATTTAGCGGAATTAAATTTAATTCTAAATTATATTCTGGAAACGTGGGAGATTACAAGGGGTAAAAAAAATAAAAATGGATGTACCGTGCGATATTAGAAGCAAAAAAAACTTGTTTTGATGATTTGGAAGAGCCGCAAAAAAGATTCCATTGAGCACATGAATTGATAATATGGACAGACTAGCTACATACAAACAAATTGCATGTCGATGGAAATTAAGAATGGATAAATATGAAGAAATCTGGAAGGAATATTTAAGCGATAAGGCGGATAATGGTGGGAAGTAGGGGGAGGAGAGAGAGGCGGGAAAATATTGTTAAAAAGGTGTAGTCATAGGTCTATTCAGTGTATCCAAATCTGAATTGTCAAACTGTGTTATTAGTGTTATGGTGTTTGTTGTGTGTGTGCCCAAAGTCCGTTTCAGGGTCTATTTCCTGGGGTAAAATCACTGGAAAAACCCTCAACGGTTAAACCCAATACCACTCACATTGCTGTGCTCAAGAAAGTTGTGGCCTAAATTTTGCCCATTCACCTTCAGAGTCCAATGCTGTCTCAATGTGTTCTCCTTCTCTTGGGGTTGGGCCTTGATGCGCAACTGAGTTCTGTGGTGATAGGGAGCTTAGAGGCGCAAATGCAAAAAGCAGTTTCGGGACGTAGATCAGGAGGGGACGAACTGTGAGCCCCATTTCTCACATTTTCCTCTTTCTTTTCTAGGTTTACCAGGTTGCGAAAAGCCTTTTCGAGGATGGCAAGGAAAAAATAAAGTGGGCCCTGTCCCCGAGTCCTCCCCCCGCCCCTCCGCCCCCCCCTTGCAGGCCCCTTTTCGTAAGGACTTCCAAGGTAAAACCTATAGAAAAGCCTATAGAAGCTGATTCCAGTCCCTGAGATTTCTCAGGGAAGGTCTCTGTCTGAGGCCTGTTTGGAGCTTTAGGTCATCATATCCCATGTGGCTCTTTGTTTCCCCGCAGGCTCAGGGAAAAAAGAAGGACAGTCCCCCTGAAGGTAATGTCTGTTTCTAGGGATGTGTTCAGAAAGTCTCTCTCTCTCTGTGTGTGTGAAAGAAGCCTCTCTAACTGGCAGCCTTCTCTTCTTTCCCTTTCAGAAGAGCTCGTCCTGGAAGACCTGGAGGAAGAGGAGTAAGAGACGGGCGGCCTTGGGGCACCTTAACCCATCGTTAAGGGTTCTTGGCTGTTGTCAAGTTGTGCTTCTGTGTCTTTCCTTGAAGGTTGCGGAGATGAGGTGGTGGCGCAGCCTTGTCCCGCTGCCTCTCAGCAGGCGCCGCCCCAGGCCAAGGCCGTTTGCTGGGCCCAGCCGTGGAAGCAGCAGCCCCTGCCAGGCAGGGGCGCCGACTTATAAAAAATATTGGGGGGGCCCATACCGGGGTCCTGCCATATTGTCTCGAAGCGTCAAGGCGACGCGAGGTGGAGGATTCCAGGCGCTTCTGCTCCAGTCCTTTTGATGTCGCCGCGGCCGCAGCGCTGGCCCGCCAGGCTTTACACGAAGGTCCATGCACCGGGACAATTCTAAGTGTGCCCGCAGCACCGTAACACTATCATGATTCACACCACTCTTTTCAGTTAACCTGCTTACTACCGTAATAATTATTAGTTTTAACTCATTACTGAATGTATTTTAAAAGGTAACTATCGTCAAACAAGGAAAATAAAAAATACCAACATAATTTTGTGATTTACAAAGCATAATATATAATAATTTTCTTAAATTATTGGATATAAACTCAATTTTAAAAGATGACTCTGTCAGTACCAAGAAAGGCCTCACAGATTTGGGCATAAGGATGAGGCCTTCCTTCCAACACATTCTCTGCCTAGAGATTATCCGAGACCCACAGAAGAGCTCACAAAGACTTGGGAGGGAGGGAGCTGATCATAGAATTCAGCATCATACCTGGGGCTTCTGCCCCCACCAGGACACCCCCCTCTGAGGGAAAAGCTGAGTCGAGTTCAGCAAGAGATGGGGCATTTCCGTGGGGAAAGGTAGAGGGGCACAGTGCTAAAAGGGGAAGAGGAGGCTATTCCTGCTTTGCCTCAGGTAGCAGAAATGGGATGTATAATTATTATTATTTATTGAATTTATATACCGCCCTATCTTCTTCTTCTTCTTCTAAAGCTCACCAAAACTGGATGTCAATGAAGACATTAAAGAAAATACTGCCCTATACCTGGAGGTTCAGGGCGGCTGACAGAACAAAATCAAAATATAAATCCACAAAATATTCAATAATAAAAAAGCCAATACCCCCCCCCACAAACCCCCCCCATACTTTTAAAAGGATGTCAATCAAATCAACCAAAGGCCTGGTTAAAAGGGAATGTTTTTGCCTGACTTAGTCAACAGGTGAATAATGAATGTGCCAGGCGAACTTCCCTGGGGAGAGCCTTCCACAGACCGGGAGCCACTGCAGAGAAGGCCCTGTTCTCGCATTGATGCCACCCTTCGCCCTCCGGACCTCTAGAGGAGGGCCTCCAGAGATGATCTCAGGGTCCGGGTGGGTTCGTAGAGAAAAGAGGTGGTACTGGAGGACCCTGTGAAAATTGTCTTGAATGCACTTTGGACAACTTCACCCTCAAGGAGGAAGAAGCTCGCTTGAGTTTGGCCAGTGACTCATCTCAAAACAACTAGGGAACTAAAATAAAAACCATAGACAGGACTCTGAGGGTCCAACCCCCCTGCGATGCTGGCATCTCGACTGCAGCATCCATGGCAGATGGCCAAACAACCTCTGCTAACAAATCTCCAAGGAAGTAGAATCTACCACCTGCTGAGGGAGATCCACTGTGGAAAACAAAGTTCAAGGAAGCGTAAACTTGCAAGATGAGTTTGCTTGAATTACATATGCCTTGATCGCGTGTCAACTCTGCTACCTCCCTCCGGCTGGGTTTCCTTTCAGGCAAGATCAGATGGGACCCACTTCTAAGACCCTCCCCTCCCAGTTCAAACCACAAGAGCTCAGAGCAAGGCTGCCTCTGGTTGTGGCATCTGGCTAAACAACACAGGCAGTTCTGCTCAGTGGTCGGGAGACAAAGAGCCACAAAATGAGGAGGAATCTGAAGGAACCAGTGGTCTCCACCACCCTTTGCCCAGCCCTGTAGCACAGTGAGGGGGCAGCCCCCATATGAAGAGGGTTCAAGAGAGAAATAACAGGTCTTTCTTTTTAGTTCTTAAAGCTTTTAAGTTACTTTGAGAATTTTTATGCAACAAGCAACTTTTAAACTAAAGATAGTATTATATCCATACCATTTTCCATTAGAGAACCACAAAAACTATTTACAATAAAGATTCAACTAGGTAGCCGTGTTGGTCTGACGCAGTTGAAATAAAAAATTGTCCAGTAGCACCTTGGAGACCAACCAAGTTTGTTCTGGGTACTGTGTAAGCTTCTGTGTGCATGCACACTTCTTCAGATACACAGTGTGCAAAACGTAGTGAAAGGGGCTGTACAGAAATGGCACAGAGGAGCCCCCTGCATAATTTACAAAATCTACATTTTTGACAGGCAACAGGAAGGGGGTTTTTTGGGGGGGAGTTACAATTGTAAAGCAGGAGACCCTGATTATGAATGTGGCTGTGAAAGGGAACTCCTGAGCAAAACAACACTGGGAATTGCGGGTGGGGACCCCTTACTCAGACATCCCCCCCCCCCGCCAATGAAGTCAGCTCTACACCCGTCCAGCTCCCACCCCCAGGCTGCTCTCCAGAGTGTTTAGCTGAGTTTTCAGAGCGGATGAGGGTTAAAGAGGGAAGGTAAAAAATAGAAAAGGACCTGTACTCTGTCTGTCTGTCTGTCTGTCTGTCTCTCTCTCTCTCTCTCTCACACACACACACACACACAAATCAGAGTCCAACACGAAGCTGCGGGGGCGGGACAGGCGACTCACTTTCCCCACCATTAATCCTGCCAACACCTTCAAACTTTGTATCCTTTTTTGCTTGAGCCCCGAGCCAAGGAGTGAAGCGGCCCCTGCCCCGGACAGCATACAAAACAAGCCAAGTCTGGGAAACAGATGTCTGGGAAGGGATCAGGCTCCAATTCGGACAGGAAACCCCCCGATCGCCCCTTTCAGTGCCACGAAATGCAATTCACAAAGTCTCATGTGTCCAGTCCCCCCCCCCCGCCCAAGCTTAGTGCAAACTATTTTCTCCAGGATCAGGGGGGGCCAGCGGAGGAGGACCCCCATCTCCCCCCAAAACGAAGCTCCCTTTTCCTCCTCTTACTCCAGCCACGTCCTTCTCCCTCCGACTCTGAGCCCCGCTCTCTGCCCCGCGTGCGGAACCAGCGGCAGCGAGAGCTGGGATTGGGCTTGGGGAAAAGATTCCGCCAATCAGAAATCGGCGCGCTGATTGCGGCACCGGTCGCCAGGCAGAACTCGAGGCGTAAGTTGGGAGCGAGGCTGGAGAGGGAAAGAGAAAGTGATTGCAGCTCCTCGCCGGGAATTGCCGCCTCCCTCCCTCCCTCCCTCCATCTGTCCCCCCCTCTCAGCTCTTCCTGTCCTGCCCTGCCCTGCCCTTTGTAAAATTATGATTTTACAAAGCATAATATAACCAATAATTTTCTTAAATTATTGGGGGGGCAGAGCCCCCCCAAACGAATTTTTGAGGGGGCTCGGGCCCCCTCAGGCCCCATGGAGTCGGCGCCTATGCTGCCAGGTATGGGGGGGGAAGGCTGTGGTCCAGAGCATCTCTCCCAGGCTCTGGCAGCGCATCCGGAAGGTGTGGGACTATAGAGAGGTTTGGGATGGGGAAAGGCATTCAGCTGTCAACCTCGCTCTGGGAAGTCAGTCTCGCAGCCTGATTTCCTTCACCGAGGGGCAAAGGGGTGGGGATTAGGAAGCTAAGGAAAACCAGAAGAAAAAGACAACCGTTTTTAAAATACCCGTAAATTTCGCCTATTACACGCAGATTTTTTCTCCTAAAAAGTAAGGTGAAATGTCTGTGCGTGTTATTGAGCGAATGTGTGGTCCCTGGATGACTCTCCGGAGCTAAGGGGCAAAATAGGCAAAAATAAGATGGGCGGGCGGGCGGGCGGAGGGAAGGCGGAAGCTGTTGCTTTCCTGCATTCTGCCTCAGGGTCTTACTGCCCACCCGCTTCTGTTGCTGTGTTTGCTCAAACTCAACAAAGAGCAGGGAATCCCCTGCCCTCCTGGCAAGCAGAGGGTTAAGGAAATGATCGAGTCCTTCCGTGCAGGCTCCAGCCCACCACCTCCTCCTCTCCGTGCTCTAGGGACTCGCAGGCAGCCGAAAAACACGCAAGTGGGAGAGAGAGAGAGAGAGAGAGAGAGGCTGGCTTGGGTTTGGTGGAGGGGACTTTTGCTTTACAATGGTAGGTTTCTCATTTCTTTTCCAAAAGCAGAGAGCCCTGCCCCCAGGCCCCCTCCAAATTACAGCCTTTCTCCAAGCAATGTACTGCTGGAGGGAGACAGTATGCTTGTTTGGAAGAGAAACCCTGCTTCCCTGCTCGTAAGTAACAGCAGGCTGGATTGCAGAGTGAGACATGGAAATCTCTGGATTTATATGCTGTATATCAAATATCTTAATCTATACTTTCTAACGCGGCAGGTAAATCAGAATCTCCTGAGCCAGGAGGATTACAACATCTCTCCTCTCCCCTTCATTAAAAGCCTAATACTCTTCTTTGAAGAAGTATAACGTGAGAATGTTTTTTATATATATTTTAAAGTTCATTCCTCATTGTGCGCTATACACTGATAATTGCTGCCACAATAACAATTGATTGAAAATGGAATTTAGTCCCCCCCCCATAGAGAGCTGTTCTTCAAACGTTTAGCCTTAATACAGTGGCTGATGTAATACCCTAGGCATTTTATATAGGGACATTAAAATTGATTTTCTACATCTTGGCAGATGAAAAAAAGTGTGTTACATGCCCTATTGCCCAAAAGTGTGCAAGCACAGAGCAAAGGTTGCAGTGACAGAGGTGGCCAAAAAAGAAATACCGTAAATAAAAAAGAAATCATACTTTGTATATCCTGTCTGTTTTATCCTTAATAGGGACTTTTATAAGCATGGATCCACAGGATCTTTGCACTGGGTCACCCCAAATTCACCATCAGATAACATAGCATGTCCATGGCTACAGCCTGCACCAAAAAAATCACGCACCCACTGTTGCCTAGGGTCGCAGTGGTGCAAAAACGTGGTTACAAAGCATGGACCCACATGGATCCTCAGGATTTTTGCATTGGGCTACTCCAAACTCACCGTCAGATCACATGTCTGTGGCCACAGCATGAACCACAAAAATCATACATCCACTGTTTCATTTAGAATATTTTTTTTCTTGTTTTCCTCCTCTAAAAACTACGTGCGTGTTATGGTCTGGTGCGTGTTATAGAGCGAAAAATACGGTAGATGGCGCAAGGCAGGAGAAGGCAATGAGGATGCCCTCCTCTCCAGGAGCGTAGCCTGGGTTGCCGGTGCCTGGGGGCCAGACACAAGGGATGAA